AGCAGTGAGAAGACATGCGTTGCGATATGTCAACATTTCGATTGTTCTCATCAGTCGCAAGCACAATACAGTCGGGATTCATAGACAGTTATATACAGGGGAAAAATTTGCACACCAATCAAAATGTCAAAATCAAGACCATGGTAACTTGATTGATTGTCTCAATAGTTTCTGTGCACACAACACAGGTTGATAAGCCCTAATTATTAGCAAAGCCTCAGTAATTGCCAAAATTATCGCATCATTGTTGCGTAATAACACCTTGAACGCAGTCTCCGGGTTCACCTGATGTCCAGTTGCCAAGAGATGCTTGGTGATAGATGATGCTGGGCTCCGGTTCATCCTCGGATCCACTCCGTTTTGTTGCGTCATCAGTTGTTCCAACCACCTCGTCACATGTTCAGCTACCCTCTGAGCTAACTGATGGTTAGATTTGCCTGTGTAAATGTCACTGCAACCGCAAGTGAACTGGTAAACGACGTGAGAGGCCGAACTGACTGATGAGTTACTCTGACGGTCATGAAGAACAAGGCTTCGCGTTGTATGTATGATTCGCAACTAGGCGGCCGCGTAAGGGTGGACCGGATTTTATGTACGATATCATCTGATACAGGTCTCCTTTCAATGGCAGGAACAAATAAACATTCTTTTTCTCTGCAGTTAACACCGGTATTTTCTCCTTGGGAGACCTGCTGTGGATCTGAATGAACTCAGGATACCCATTTGACACCAACGTTTTGAACAAAAATTCCCCATACTCAATAGACGTCGACTCCCTATTCACAAACGTACCTCTACGTGAGACGGTTGAAAATATGTGTGATTTCTTCGCGAGTCGAAACATGTCGTTTGACCTGCCTCTGAAGTATTTGTGGGATATGATCTTATTATGCACGGAAAATATACGGTTCGACTTTAAGTGGACTGCTTCTAAACAGATCGACGGCGTCGCCATGGGTAGCCCCTGGGACCAGTATTAGCAGACATATTTCTAGGCTTGATGGAAAGACAAGTTACTGCCAACATTGGTGAAGCTAAGTTGTACAAGCGGTATGTGAACAACATCCTAGTCTTCACCAGCAACGAACATTTTGCGCGGCTGTCGACAGTTCTGAATTCAATTTATCCCAATCTATCAGTGTCCCATGAATTAGAGCAACACGATAGTCTGTCATTTTTGGATATACTCATTAAGAGAGGGACCGATGGTACGCTACAACACACGGTTCATCGCAACGCAACTTGAAGCGGGCTGTACCTTTACTTTTCCAGCTTTGCCCCGGTCGCATACAAACGTGGCCTTAGTGAAAACGCTCTTCTACAGAGCCAGATGGATATGCGGCCCCGAAATGTTGCAAGCTGAAGAGGAATTTTTGTTCGAAACCTTGGTGTCAGATGGGTATCCTGAGTAGTTCATTCAGATCCACAGCAGGCCTCCCAAGGAGAAAATGCGGGTGTTAACTGCAGAGAAAAAGAATGTTTATTTCTTCTTGCAGTTCAAATGATATCGTACATAAAATCCGGTCCGCCCTTCCGCATACATACGCGACCTCCCAGTTGCGACTCATACATACAACCCGAAGCCTTGTTCCTCATGACCGTCAGAGCAACCCATCAGTCAGTTCGGCCTCTCACGTCGTTTATCAGTTCTCCTGCGGTTGCAGTGACATTTACACAGGCAGATCTAACCATCAGTTAGCTCAGAGGGCAGCTGAACATGTGACGAGGTGGCTGGAACAACTGATGACGCAACAAAACGGAGTGGATCCGAGGATGATCCAGAGCCCAGCATCATCTATCATCAAGCATCTCTTGGCAACTGGACATCAGGTGAACCCGGAGACTGCGTTCAAGGTGTTATTACACAACAACGATGCGATAATTTTGGCAATTACTGAGGCTTTGCTAATAATTAGGGCTTATCAACCTGTGTTGTGTGCACAGAAACTATTGAGACAATCAATCAAGTTACCATGGTCTTAATTTTGACATTTTGATTGGTGTGCCGTTTTTCTCCCTATATGTAACTGTCTATGAATCCCAATTGTATTGTGTTTGCGATTGATGAGAACCATCGAAATGTTGACATATCGCAACTTATGTCTCTTCACTGCTCTGACAAAAAGTGAAGTCACTGACGACCCAACTCGGTGCCCTTCTGGGCTTGGAGTGCACGTGACCTTGTGCTGGGTTCGGGACGTTATGAGACATGGATCGCGGTCGGCACCACTGGCGTGTCTGTTGTCGTCTCTTTCTCGGACTCTGTTTAAGGCTTATTCGGTGCGGGGTAATGGCTGATTATGACGCGGAGCAGTGAAAGCCGTAGGTGAGTTGTCTCGCTGATTCCGCGTTGTATTTGCACGGTAATCAACTGTTTGTGACGGTATGCTGTTAAGAAGGTGTAAGCTCCTTTACCGTATATATATATATATATATATATATATTTATATATATATATATAACACTTGCCCAACAAACATTTGGCGGGGTACCACAACACATGAGAAAGAACAACAAAACCGAGGAAAAGAGAGTCAAGGGAAGGAATATGAAGTTCTGTGTGCTGTTTGGGCAGTTAGCTTCCTGGTTTCCCAGGCCGAGAAGTGGGTTGACTTAAGTGGTCCCACCTTTGCTCGTAAAGACTTGACCCACAAGGCAGCGGGACGAACACAGAGACCGTTGACAGCCAGCTGGCTTAATCGCCTTGGTGTTCGGTTGCAGTCCCCAGAGAAGGCGGTGGCCAGTAAGTTTGTTCATTCGCACTCCGTTAGGTACTCATCCGTGGTTACAGAACTGAGTGGTCAGTGACCCCATGGCCAGTCACATTGGCTTTGACACAGCGCCGTACGAGCTTCTGTGGTACTTCATTGGGAACCAGGTGACCAGCTCAGAACTCCGCACGCTCTGAGACGCTGCGTTGATTGTCTGTGATTGCTTATTCATCTCGCCTACAATGCAGACGAGACTTATTCGCAGTTACCTCCACAAGGTAGGCATTCCCCAATGCGCAACCTGGGGAAGCGTCCGATAGCGTACAGCTCCGCCACGGGACATGAGTATTATGCTGACTTTAATTGCATTCCTACTCTTCAAGTACTCTTACTACTTTTCCACTCACTCAGTTATACCTGCTACACTTAGGCTTAATGACGTCTCCAATAAATCTATGGAAATTCTGTCTTCTTTACTGTAGTGCCTCAGTTCAGGTCAGAGTTTAATGACTTTTCCAACGCCCTTCTGAGAACAGGTGGTGTTTGTTAAAGCCATCCCACTTCCCCATTTTCATTCAGTTTCACCGCGTTCCACATCACGGAGTCTTCTCTAGTAGGGTCTCACGAGGCAAGTATTGACGCCCTGTCCAAAACTTAACTTAATTATTCGGAATCCACGCTGCCGTTTAGTAACCACAAAGTGAAACAATCAGTCCGGAATAGTCTCGTTCATCAGCACACACTCTTCCACCTTCATAGTACAAAGCGCGGCTGCAAGAATGCGATAAATTTTCCTTTAACTACTGATAACAGGAAGCTAGAGACACTTGACTAATTTGGCTATCCTAGCCATTGCATTGACAGAGATGTACTTATAAGTACTGTGCTTGGTTCCATCATTGAAAAAGTTGGGGCTTCTTTCTTCGACATCTCTTGCACAGGTCTGAAAGCTAACACATACGGACCATTCTTTCCAATAACAATGAGATGTGGATCCTTCGGTTTGAAGATCTTGGGCGCCTTTTGTCTTGGTTGACACCAGCGTATCTGTGACGCTTGTTAGCACAGACAAGCGCAAGATAACGATGATCAGACCGGTTCGTTGAATCAACAAACCAGACTGGATAAGTTGCCTTGGCTTGGGCTCATGTTGCATGAATCGGCTCATTACTCACTAGGAGTAGTTTCGTTTCGTTTGTATCTTGCATTTGATAATTATCGACCAACTTGATTTCCGTTGTAACTATCCAACACCTTGACTAACGTGAACTATTGCACGCGGGTTAAGGTGCTGAAGAGGAACTCTTATCCACACAGGAGCAGCAATTTGAGCACGGCGTAGGATGTGCAAGCTAAACGTCCTAACTAATACACCGGTTGCCCCGGTGAAGAATACCAAATGGTTATTGTCACTTGAAGTTTCTCTTATTGTTCATAGTGTCTCGAACATGTACCCAGACGCTAGTTTGTCCTCCGGTGGTCGTGCACTATGATTCGGGTACACGAATAAACGGACAACCTTAGGTAAGCGAAAAAACACACAAATGTAAGTCAGAAAAGATGGTTTATTCAAAGGCGATAAACTAGCGATCAAAAATAAGACACCAAGCGGATAGCTAGCTGGGCGAGATGTGAACGCGTGCGGACTGCAAAGATGGCCACGGACTAGCAGGTCACTTCGGTACCAGCAGGACAGATGTGGGTGTTAACTCGAATGTGAGCAACTTTCAAATAAACAACTTCTTTAGTTCCCTAGATAAATAATAAAACCATACTTTTAAAGTATTTTACACAGTCAAACGGGGCAAATCTCCGCTTCACCACAAGTTGCTCTCACCATCACCATCTTCCTTAGTTCGAGATAGATGGCATTTAAGTGCTACTTGTTACCTGCTCACGACGCTTTGCTCTAGGGCCGTTTTCTTGTTGTTTTGCACCTGTTGGCATCCGTCTGTTTCACATACGGTTGTACTGACTGATCTGATCGGTATTCTTTTGAATATAAGCCAGGGTCTGTGTTGGTGTTTACACACCGCAACCCATCCACACAACAACTGTTCCAAATGAATCAGCAACGTGAAAGTAGTCGGGCTTCTATGGTTGTACAGTTTCACGGAGAACGCAATTGTCACTTTCCGAGTGACATCTGTTGTCTTTTTACATCTTCTTGTTTTGTGTTTGTTTGCCTAATAGTGTTGGTTCTTTAGATTCCAGTTGCATCTGCTGGACGTCAGATACTACTACCGTCTTCATCCGCCCAGTGACCGCTTCACTTTCCTTTCTTTCCAGCAACCCCTCCCGGTGTTTGCCAAAAAGTCGGAGCTGGCCAGCCATCCGGACGACTTTCCTACTGATTTGCTGGACCAGTTCTGGTTCGTCAACGATTTATACACATTTGAAAATGTCGGCTTCACTCATAACGTGAAAGAGTTACGCTATCTCACATGTGCTGATTGTGACTTGGGGCCCATCGGTTTTCACGATGTAAACGAAGGTCCACCCAAAGTTTATTATGTCGCTCTGTCCCGGACAACCCACAAGACTACAAACTCAGTTGATCAGCCTATGAACGCTTCGGCTTAACACGCTGTACAAAGTTCCCGTGTCCCTACAGCATCTTTTTTGTTTCATAGCGAATGTTTACGCTCTTGTTCTTTGAATTCGCTTTTATTGTCGTTGACTCTATGCCCGGTAATTGTCTACTGAACAAGCCAGTCTTCATTATGTCTTTCGCCCCGATTGGTATCTATAATCCTTTTTTTGATCAGCACAATTAACTCCCTCATTTTCAATTCGAAATAGAACAGGGGAATCGAGGCAAAACCAAAAACACTTCGACTACAAATTCAACCTCTTTCTAACATGTCTCCTTAAACTGCGCATCCTCAAAGATTTCTTTTACGACCCACGGTTTTTCCCACTTGACACCAACTTATCCATCTGCAGTCATGTGGTTGATTCATTCACTCCGGACAAATCTCCAAAGCTCACTTGCTATCTAGGCCATCATAGTCCTGTGAGCAACCACACCGAGACCTGATTGTGTCCATTCCTTTATCACGGTGTGTATGCAAGACCAGATGTATCCGACTCCTGGTGAACTGATTCAGGCGCCTGGCTTTTACCTCATAGATGTTAGTGACCCAGTGGTATATCACTCTCTGTGCAAATGCTAGTGGCTGCGTGACTTAAACCTGTCCGGCTCTGTCATATTCGACGACGCGTCCTGGTTCAGTACTTAGTTCGCTTGTATTTTAGGTTTGCTGGGTTTGGTCTGCGGTGGACCAATTGTGGTACAAGCGATGCACAGCGCGTTGTGTTTGACCTGCTACCTATCTTCAGGTCTTTGTTGGTTTAACGTGGTTTTAATCCAAATCAGGTTTATTTGCCCTGTTTGCGTACCGACTATGCTTCACTGCTAAACTTACGTGTAGTTATTACAGTTTACGAGCACGAAGCTTACGTCTGCTTGGATACACTAGTTGAAATGGCGAAGAGTCGACGTCAATGACGTTTGTGTTGTGGGCTTCTTTATCCCTCCCCTTTACATTCCCTCTCCAATTACGATCTCATTACAAATACCTACTATGATAATGTACATTATATTTCTTGCTTATTGGACATTTTTGTAGTCTGTAATCTTTAGTATCTTATTTTTTATATTACGGCACATTAGCTGAAGTGTGTTTCTAATCCTCGGCCAACATGTATTGATAACGATGAATATCTGCAAAGTACCAATGCGAACTGCAGTTATATCAGCCATCTGCTGCTTGGTCAGTGATTTTGGTCGTGAGATACGATACGATGCCCTTGGAAACAAACTGTTCACTCAAGGTAAGACACGAATTCTGATTATCCTCGAAATCTAACCCGAACAACCTCCACGTGGTGCCAGTTGGGTGGGTCGGGTTTACCCGTTCCAGCAAATAGTTCGGCGGCAGTGTTCCAGGACGTGGTGAGTTTTCGCTTGGCAAGCCTTCTCCCTATAAAAAGCCACAAATGTCTGTTTAACAACGCTGTGATGTGGCGGATAGGACTCGCCACTAAATAAAGTCACTGCTTCTTGCATTTTTGGACATTCTTACCCCACTCACGGACGTCATCCAATTCGAAGATATTATTTGATCCCTTCCTGTGTGGGCGAATTCACCGGACACAACCATAGCTTCGGAAAAATAGTAACAAATTCATTCAACATGATTACTGACCCATACACATACTTGCATACATAAAACATAACCCATGTATGTACTGGTTACATAGTAACACTTCTGACAATTCCTGATTATACGTTCTGTAATACGATGATCATGCCTTTTTAGGCGTGCCCCGCACTGTCGGGAATAAAACATTTATTTATAGAGGTAGGTACAGTCCACAATACGGGTAGCCTTCTTACTTGTATTGCGACTGTGGTGTGTAATGGGGTCTGTGAATGCGGTGGTGCTAAGATGCCACTTGAGTAACCATCGATCGAGCTAAACGATTTCATGTCAACACTCTGAAAGATGGTCGATAGCTACGAGGGGGGAACTGAGGGATAGTACGCAATCGATTTAAATTAACATGAATGAAGCTCGAACGCTAGCTGAGAATGAAGTAGCAAGAATATGTGTTTGTGAGTGGTTCTAATTGACGCGAGGTATAAACTGAGCTTGTGTACTATGAACAATAGATTTCTGCTCGGGGCCCAGACTTTGACTTTTTTTCACGGAGGATCACTTGACAAGGAGATCGATTGCAACCTTACCATTTCGCGACTTGTGTCTTCTTTCAGCAGTTACTAAGTGGATTAACGGAGCATTCGACCGACGAGTAAGAAAGCTTCCGGGAGAGGGTCAATTTGAAGTACACGTTGTGTGGATGGATCGCGGCACGCAATCTCAAAGTGGTCCGCTATTCCCATTGAAGTGAGCCTTGGTCATTCGATCACTAGGACCGTAGCGGATAAGTCAGATGGAAATTGGGTGTTGCCCATCCGAAAACACTGCACACCACTACGCGTTTCGATCTGATTTGATCTCATCAGGTGAAGATAGCAGGCCCCGAACCCGCGACCATTGGAATAGTAGCCGAAACCTCTACCCCTTTGGCTACCGGGTCACGAAGGACAACGCTTGGCACAAGGGTTAGTGACAGATTGGAGGGCCAATTTGTAATACACATTGTGTGGATGGATTTCGATTCGCTATCTCAAGTGGACTGCGATTTCCATGGAACTGCTGTGTTTCTGGATATACAACACCCAGTTTCGGTCTAGTTCAGCTACGGTCCTGTAGATCGAATTGACCAAGGTTTACTTCAGTGCGAATCGCGGTCCACTTTGAGATTGCGTGTCGCGATCCATCCACATAACGTGTACTTCAAGTTGATCCTCCCCGTGAAGTTATGTCTTACTCGTCGACCGGGTGCTCTCCGCAAACGAATCTATGCTGTTGCCAGTGCTGCTTATGTTTAACTACTATGAAATAGTGAGTAACATCTTAAAAATAGAAATAACTATTTCTTGGCTAATCGCGATCCGTGCAATTCATCAAAACACCAGCATTTTAGACTTTAGCCATAATTCCTATCTTCATTGAAATAGCAGGCGTAATCGAATGCAGGTTGCCTTAGATCGCAAATAGTTTATTCGTATCGTACACATTTTATTGGCTGTTTACAGACCAGTTAACTCATGCCCCAACTCGCTGGCATGCTCACAGTCGACTTCACATACCCATGCACTAAGTAATAATCACAATGAATGATGTGAGTACCGAAAACGACTCCTTTCGATGCAGTAGTCAGGCTCCCAATCTTCACTTAATATTCACGAACCTACACCGGTTGAAAGAGGCTTTCACGTATCATCCTATTTGAGTGTTGTTCTTAATAATACTAATACAGTAGAACCCCCCAAGTTGACCGTTTTTTATGCATTGAACGCTCACCGTGTAAACCTTATGGAACCAGACCTGTAGTTTGTACGTTGACCACTTGGGCCAGACTGCTAATCTAACCTCTATAAGTTGACCATGTGAAGATTTACTCTGCAATCGCCGACCGTTTGTTCAAGCAACAAAGTACGTGTAGCAGGATTTTCCAATGTGCGAAATTCTTTTGATCCACTACACTTGACTGCTTTGCAGCCGTCTTGTTTGCTGAATTCAAGAATTCACCTAAACATATCCCTACTTCGGCAAGGGGTTTTATCGATGGTGACATTTTTAACGCTGACGAATGCAGTCTCTTTTACAAAGCCATGCTAGCAGGAGCCTTGTTATGAAGGATAACAAATGTAAGCGCGGAAAAACTTCCAAAGAACGTTTTACAACTATGATGTGCGTTGGCCCAATTGATGAGAAGCTGGAGTATTTGGTCAGTGGCAAGTCAGTTTAACCACCTGTGTTCAAAAATCTGAGTACTGAAAATCTTCCAGTCACCTGGAGACTCAACAATTCTTCATGGATGATTGCTGCCAAGTTTGACGAGTGTAGAAGAAAAATCGACCAATAAATGATGGAGAAGAAACGATTCGTTCTACTGACAATGGGTAATTGTCGTAGTCATATTCATGTCGATAACCTCACGAGCATTACACTAAAATTTCTGCCTCCAAATATGACCTCAACAATTCAACCTTTAGACCAAGGTATCAACAAAACGCATTACCGATTCCAACTGATGCAATCGGTTAAAAATATAAATCCCAATGATGTGCATGTTGCAAGAACTTCATCTACTGCATAAGTGAACGCTCTGGATGCTGTGTTTTGGGTTAGTTCCGCTTGGCACAAAGTTCCGCCAGAAACAATACAGAAGTGATTCTAGAAAGGTGGATTCTTTTGAACTCCCGAGCATTCCATCTCCCACTACAGATTTTCATGAGTTTGTTGAAATAGATGATGACTTGGCAATCTACATAAAACCAAACACAGGTGCTATTTTCTTAGAGATACTGACTACAGCACACTCCTACGGGTACAAACGATAAGCGCCTGATGATGAGGATGAACTAAGTGTAGATGACTTGGAAATCACAGTAACCCCAAAAGGGACTGATGTAGGGCATCTTTTTATGCAAATGAAATCATTTGCTGTGGAAAGATGTCCAAGCATGCGGAGTGGTGTACCTTGTGTTGAGAACGCTTTTTTCGGTTACCTTTGTGATAAGAGAAGGAAACAGACATTTTCTTCAAAAATTGATTTAGTTTATCTAATACACGTGGTGTTTTGATTTCTTAAGACACGGTGTGGCTGAACTGCCTTTGTTGTGACCTCAAACCTCGTCTGATGTGTTTGCAACGGGTTTATGTGAAAACATATTTCATACTACACTTCTCACAACAGGAATGTAGATTACGCTTAGTTTTTGCTTAGAACCTCCGTATGTTGACCGCTTTGGTCCAATCCCTTGGGTGGTCAACTTACGTAGGTTCTACTGTAATAGGTGTATTTCTCTGCAAGTGCGAAGTTGCGTCGATATTTTGCACAGATCATGCATGTGCAGGTAATATCATGTTCTTACATGAGCAATATTTAGTTGTGATGAATAAAATATGGTGGTATAATCCTAGACGATGCGAGGCACAGTTCAACTGGATGGTACGAGCATTATGTACAACGGAATCGCAAGGATCAGATGTTCTGATTTTTGAATTTTGCAAAGGTGTCCTCAAACTATATTTTGGGAG